TTATATGTTTCCATGTTTTTAACAGCTAGAATCTTTACTATACTTTAGTATAGTAAAATCAGGTTTGGTATGTTATGTCCGAGTACTTTTTATAATTTGCTTGAAACATCTTGGAATTCCAGTTTTTCTGATGTTAATCTCTTGTGGTTTATACAATTTTAACTACCAAAATCATGTAGGAAAAAAAATCTCAGTTAGCATTTTGGTTATAAACTACAAGAATTTTTAAGGCTAGTAAAATTTTCTGAACCCTGGTGTCATATTACTTAACAGAAGAAAATTCATGTGCTTACAAAATGTGTTAGATGCTTGGTCAAAAGTTGTGCTAATCAATTTTCAACTTGTAAGGCCTATTTAACTTCTGAAAGCTTTTCCAGACTTGGTAGAGAGAAGAGGGAGGAAATATTTTTAAATAAGCCACTACATCTCTTCTCCTTTGCTCCTGAACACATTGTTTTCAACATGAAGTGACTTATTCCCTTCCTCCTACTGCCTACTCCATGTAATCGTCTCTTGTACATTTGCACTCTTGGCCTTTTGTTAAATTTCAGCAAGTGAAGCTGGTAAATAATGAAGGCCCAAGTGAATTCAATCAATCAATCAGCCTATATTTATTGATTGCCTACCACATGCCTAGCAGTGTCTTCTGTATGCTGTACTTCATAATTGAAAAACATCTAGGAAACACTGCTTATTAAAACAGAATGATTGATAGGTTTGAATGCTCAACTGATACCAAAACAACTGATGGAAAGCTAAAACATTGATTTATGAATCTCTTACTGCTGAACTTTGCTGAAGGATATTGTTATTGTCTGACTGTTCAGTTAATCAAATTTTATTTAATGACATGCTAATTAATATTATACTTTATTTTCCTGACTCACATAAAATATATTTCGCATAGGAACTTTACTAAACTGGTCTGAAATGTTTTAAAAAAAATATCCAACATATGTGTAGAATTATAACAGAAAGATTTTTGAAATCAAATAAATACATTTTTGTGTATATTCCCTGTGTCTATATAAAAATAGTTATACTAAATTGTTTTAAACATAATACCTTGCCATTAATAAGCTCAGAGCCTAGCAGAAATAGTACAGCAGGATTATATTTTGGGTCTAAATTGTATAAAATGAAATATAGTAAAATTAAATTAAAATTAAAATGTCTTAAATCATCCATCAAAGTAATGTGTATATATAATGTATAACTAATATTCTGACATATGCTATCCATTTTAAGTATAATCCAAAATGTTCCATGGGAAAGATACCCATATAATTGTTGAAATCGCAAATCTTAACTAAACACATGATGTGACTCCAGTTTACATGCAAGTAATACATCTTCTCTTATCCAAGAGTAGCAGATTTCCAATGTTAGTCACTTCCTTGTATTTATGTTTTTCCTCACCTGAGGATATATTTATTGATTTTAGAGAGAGAGAAGAAGGGCGAGTGAGAGAGTGGGAGAGAGGAGAGGAGAGAGAGACAGACAGACAGACATCGATGTGAGAGAGAAACATGGCTGGATCAGCCACCTCCCGTACCTGCCCCTACCAGGGATCAAACCCACAAGTCAGACGTGTGCTCTGACTAGAGCTCAAACCTGCAACTCTTTGGTGTACTGGATGATGCTCCAACTATCTGAGCCACTTGGCCAAGGCAGCACTTCCTTGCATTTACATTCAAAGAGGTGATTCTCCACCCGTCCATCAGTCTGAGCCCAGCAACCATTTGGAGAGCCAGTTTTGTGATGGACTCCAATAAAAGGACTCCAATAATCTCCACACTGTCTAGTTCTCTTCTATCTCATGCACAAGACTTTTCCTCAGACATATAAATATATTTACAGAAATATATATATGATATATATAATTTATATTTATGTAAAACCTATGTTTTATATTTCTCTTCTCAATTTCTACCTCCCCTAATCTAGCTCCAAGCCTGGATTACCTACCTCTTCCCAAAACTCTCGTTAAAGTTTCTATACTTGTCCACTTCACTATAAACTTTTAGTTAAATTAATCATCCAAATGTATAATAGCACAATTCTGACCATACAACCCATTTGCTTAAAAACCTGTGATGGCTCCCACTTTGTACAGAATTATATCTAAATGTCCTCGTCATTCATGACCTCCATAAAGTGATACCAGTTCCTTTTCTAGTTCTAATTGAATGGCCCATTTCCAATGATACCTTACCCATTTCCTCCACTGTACTCACGCCACTCTTTCTCCCCAGAATTCTCTCTCTTTTTATTTCTGTCTATCAAAATTCTGCTCATCTTTTAAGGCTCGGCTGAGATAGCAATCCTCAAGTTTGATGCAATTTTGCCATATCTTGAACTCCTATAGCACTTCATTTATTGCGCTGCCCTTATGACACTTCTTTGTATTAAAGTCATTTATGTACCTGTCTTATCTGTCCCTCTCAGATCGTAGTTCTTGCCCTCCAGGAAATTAGGTTTTACCTATCTTTTTTATTTCCTGTAGAACCTAGAACAGCACCTAGCATAGAAGAGATGCCTGATAAATATTTGAGCAGAATTCAAATAAGTTACCTTGGAAAGTTATCTATACTTATTTCAATAATGTTCAATTTGTCAGAAATTTTTTGAAGCCCTTTACAATTGTTTCAAGGGCCTGTGGGATTCTTTTAAAAGCTTTTGGTGGTGACACATCTTTGTCATCTGAGAGAATATTTGATAAATGGAATTTATTCTTAGTCATACTTAGTGAATAATATAGATGTTCAATCTGGGCTGCTATATTTTCAATTATTGTAAAAGTAAGGTGAAGTAATGAGACAAAATCTCTGAGTGAGTCATGAACTGACAACTCCAAAAGAAAAGTTCCCAAAATGCTTTCAACAATGGCAATATCAGTGTAATGACTTTATAACTTCTTAAGTTTTCTACTTGGAAACATGCAGCACTCATTTGGATGTGTAAATTCTAATATATTTGTTGAATCTGTCTTGGCTCTTTGTAGATTAATTTTGCAGTTTTCCAAACCAGAGTGTTGAAAAATGTGTTTGGAATTTAAATATTCTTTGAACAAGAAGTATACTACCTTGCTCATTTGAAATTCTGTATTTTATAGTTTCTGGTGGGAGAGATACTTTTTCCTCATTATTGCGCCAAACAAAGTTTTCCAGATTGGAGAGAAATATATTTATAAAGTACTATGATCCACAAAGCTTACAAATTCAGCTACTATGCCTAGCTGTTCTGAGTTTTACCAGAAACATAAGGAATTGAAGAATAGATTTCAAGTAACTAAACAATAATGGCTAATTGAATATAGCATTTGAGTATCATGTAATTGGTGCCTCAGAATTATAAAATGAAGAAGTTAAACTTCATCTCTTCCCAAATCTCATAGAAATTTATAGTATTAGTATATCCCAAATCTGATATAATTTATAGTATCGGTATATTCATGTGCTTATAGAAGTTTTCCATTTTCTTTATTATATACAATTGGCTTAAGCAGAGAACCACATTTTATATTTTTAAAATGTATAATGGCCATGTTTAAAGAAATTCAGTTAACCATGTTTATTATATGTATAATTTTTGTTATTCCATATGTAAGTTGTCAGTAATTACTGAGTTTTGGGTAATTCATTCGGTTTAACATATTTTCTCTTAACAACTTTATATAGCCAGTTTTAAATTATCCTAATAGATGTGAGTATGTGAAGAAATAATCCAAAGTGGTTGGATATCTTTATTTTTTCAAGAGTATATGATGTGATTATTTTAGCATACATACCCCTTTCATTGAGGCTAGCAATCAATTTAATTTAGAAACATTATATAATACACCAGTTATTGGTGGGAAGACAAGAAAGCATATAATTTAAAGAATTTTTTCATAGAATTTTTGTTACTACTCTCGGTTCATCATTTTAAAAATAAGTTATTCCCACTTCATGATCCTCGGGCATTCTAGTTAATTGACATTTTACCATAGTGGGATGTTAACTTGAGTAAATGTATTTTTAAAACTTTTTCTTTAAAGTATTGTTTGGAATTTATACCAGTTGTAGCCTATCCTTAGCATATTGGTTTAATGAACTCGAAATAAATAGCAGGTCTAATGGCCAGGGACAGTAATAATCTACCTGGATTTTGACTATTTTCAAAATATTCAAAATATTTTAACTATATTACTTTATAATTTACTTGAATTAATCATCAATTCTTACTAATAGGCATAATAGTAATTCATAGGCCATGCCTGAATATAATATATCAAATACAATAAATGCTTAATTGAATACAACATTCCCACCACCACCACTTAGCAAGACTGATTTGCCTTATCAGATGCTGAGGAAGTACATGTTTGGGAGGGAAAGAGAGGACAAGTAAGAGTTTGGAGTACTCCAAATCCTTGTGTGTCCCATGAAAAAGTATGGTAAGGTACAGGTGAACCTGTACTCACAGGACCACTTTGGTCTCTATAGACACTCCCCAGAATCCAACTGGAGTAACATTTGTCCCCTTGAGTGGCAATGCAGATGTAATAAGCCATTGCTGGCTATTTGCCTTAGTAGGTTCTATTTAAAAAGAAGCCTACAGTTATGTATGATGAATAAGTCTTGAGAGCTTGAGAGCTAATAGACAGAATGATGACTATAGTTAATAATTTAATTATTGTTACTCATTCCACAAAGCACAGCATTTTTATTATAAAAATTTTATTTTCCATAGATTTCTAAACCATACTACCAGACCCTAGCAACGTTCTAGAATTTTTCTTGAATTTCCAGGGGAACTTTGCATCACTTCTAAAATTTCCTCACCAAAAAAGTCCTTTTTAATCTGTTGTGTTCAGTAAGGAAACAGGATTGTCTATGTGGGGAATACGCTTTGAATGAAAACCTATCTGAAGTCTTACATGAATTTTTTGGTGTTGATCAGCATTCCAAGTAGTGCTAATACATACCTTACTGAGATTCCATTTGTTGTTTCCACAGATTTCAGGAAACCTTACTGTGCCTTGGATTACAGGGTGTTCTAGAAAAAGAGCAGTAAGTAATCTTTCATTTAAAGCAGAAAATGGGTTTTCCCCTGCTTTGTTAGTAGGAATGCCATTGAGAAAACTGTATTGATATTTGTAAAGTTGGCAAAACCAAACCTCAATAAGACTGCATTATCTGAAAGGATATATTTTGTGATCAGATTAATTAAATATATAACAAAAGTAATCTTAAATAAGATGCAGTAGTCAGCACCCTGAATAATCTTTGAGTAGGTATTTGTAGTTAAAAAAAAACATTCATAGGTAATTAATAAAATATTGTACTTTTTCTACATCTAATTAACCCAGTTCATTTGGTCATATAATTGAATCATGATTGATATAAACATGCCAGTGAAGATTAAATAATTTACATTAGTATTAGTACATTTTGGTATCTAGCAGTGATGAGTAACATTTTGGTATTTAACAGTGATTTTAACAATATTATTTTGTTTTTATGCTAAAACTGTTGTAATATTTGTAATGTTAATATAACAGAACTTCATTAAAATTGTGTTCTCTCAACAAATCACATTCAGTTAGTCTGTGTAGAACCCATATATCTCAATTTTAACAGGTACCTCAGGAGATTTTGATATAACTGGTCCATAGATGGGAAAAGGATTTTAATCATAAAAGAGACGAGTACAGTTTTGGAAATATAACTCAAGTTACTGTATGTTAGATAGGTTTGGGGATAATAAAATAGAAACCAGGACTATAGTACTTAGACAAGGTTATGTAGATTTCTTTCTCCTTTCTCTTACCCACAAAATAAAATTATATACCATAAAGAAAAAAAAAAGGAAGTAACATAGGAGGCCACCAAAGGAGAACTCTAAAGGATGGAAGAAAGCAACTAGTTAGGAACTCCAAGACTTAGGAACTACACATAACAGCAGAAGGTGACACAGGTTAGGCATCTCATAACCCCCAATCTAGTATGAGAAGACAAATGGGGTAGGCTCATTCCTCCCGTTGATGAGCTGGGAGTCCCACATAAAGTGAGCTTGGTTACATCAGCCTAAGGAGATCAATTGGAAACCTCAGTGACAATAAGTACCCAGGAGTAGCACTTTTTTTTCCATGCTGGGCCTGAACTCCTCACTTATTTGGAGACACCAGGCAGCAACCAACAAAATACAGCCTGGCCTGGGAAGCTTCTTTGTTCCCATAGGTCAGAGAATTCTCTTTCCCACTTAGATAACCAGGTGGCTTGGTTAATACTAGCAAGAATGATCAGGACACTGTAACTGCCCAGCCCAGGAAGCGTGTTATTCATCCTGGAAGGATGCAGAATCTAATGGAAAATCTATTTTTCCACCTATAGACACTGATCTGTAGGGTGGCACCAATAAGCAGTCTCTCTCCACAATAATTCTTGGGCTGGGAAAGGTCCTCTTTCCCTTCAGACTGTTGCAGTAGGGATCAACATAAGCCCAAGTGGCACCAGATATAGCAAACAAGTTAAAATACCACAATGTCCTGAAAGCAAAAATAACATTGGAACCACTAATCAACAGTAAAAAAGAAGGAAATCTTACCCCTTTTGACAACATGGATGGACCTGGGGAGCATTATGCTAAGTGAAATAAGCCAGTCCGAGAAAGACAAGTACCGTATCATTTTACTCATATGTGAAATCTAGTGAACAAGCTGAACTAACAAGGAAAATGGGGACAGACTCGTAGATGGAGAGCAGGATGACAGCTAGTGGGGGCGATGTTAGGGGATGGAGGAATCGAGCAAAGAAGGAAAAGGACTCATGGACATGGACAACAGTGTGATGACTGCAAGGAGGGCTGGAGGATGGGGGGATAAATGGTGATGGAAAATGAAATAAAAAGTAGGCCACGACTTTGTGCTAAACACAACTGGGTGACTTCCTGATAAAATAAAAAGATTTAAATAAGAATAAAAACCTTCTATTATAATGGCCAAAATGATGAGGATGCCATTGAAAGTCACCCATAGCACCAAGAACCAGGAAAAGCACAGCTTAAATAATGAAAGAAAATCAACTGTAATAAACATTGAGGCAAATTATGTAATGAAATTATCTGACAAGGATTTTAGAGCACCCATTATAAAAATGCTTCAAGAAGCAATTACAAATTATTTTTAAACAAATAAAAATCTCAAAAGAGCAATTAAAGTTATAAAAGAACCAAATTAGAATTATAGAATGGAAAAATACGATAACTGAAATTTTTAAAGAATTGCTGTATTGCTCAATATATGAGTAGTGATTAAAAAAAAATCAATGAACTTGAGGACAGATTGGTAGGATTTACCCAGTTGGGACAGCATAGAGAAAATGCTGAAAAATAATAAACAGGACCTCAGAATTCTGTGGGGCAACAAGATATCATTTAATACTTACATTTGCATCATTGGAGCCCCATAAAAAGACAAGACAGAGAATGGTACTCAAGAAATATTTAAAGAAATAATGGCTGAACATCTCAATATGGGGAAAAATAACATAAACCTACAGATTCAAGAGGCTTAGTGAACTCTAAGCAAGATAAATGCAAATAAATCCATACCCAGACACATCATAATTAAATTCCTGAAAATGAAAGACAAGGAAATATCTTTAATTTAGCCAGAGAGAAATGATGTACTATCTATAGGAAAACACCAATTTAAATAACAGTAATAGATTTTCATCTGAAATGTTGGAGGAAAAAAGGACAATATTTTTCACATGTTTGAAGAAAACAACTTTCAACCAATAATTCTGGTCGTCAAAACTATCCTTCAAGAATCAAGGAAAAAAAAGACACTCCTAATTGAAGGAAAACTAAAAGAATTTGTTGATAGCTGAATTACTGGATATCGGGCATTTGTATTACTATCCATTGCTGCTTAACACATCATCATGATTTTAGCAGCTTAAAATAACACGCATTTATTATCTCACCGTTTATTTGGTCAGGAATCCAGGCATGGCTTAGCTGGATTTCCTGCTTAGGGTCTCACGAAGATGCAGTCAAGGTGTTGGCTGGGCTATATTCACATATGGAGGTTTCAATGAAGATGAATATGCTTATAAACTAACTCAGGTTGTTGGAACAATTTATTTCCTGTGCCTGTAAGACTGAGGCCCTGTCTTCTCATTTGCTGTTAGCTGAAGGTTACCCTCATCTCTTAGAAGAGGCTGCTTACAATTCTAGGGTCTAGAGGCCCTCTATAATTCCTAGAGGCCTCCCACAAGTTCCAGGTGCCTCCCACAATTTCTTGTCATGTAAGCTCTTTAAAAAATGGCCACTTTTTCAAGCCAACAGAAGAGTCTCTAGACTGAGTCTGCTATCAAAAAAAGTCTTTTATAATGTAACAGAATCACAAGAATGATACCTCATCATCTTTGTTATATTCTATTGGTTAAAAGCAAGTCACAGGTCCCATCATACTTGGAAGGAAGGGATTATATAAAAGCATGAAAACCAGGCGGTGGGATAATTAGGTTGCCACCTTAGTGACTGTCTACCACAACAGTGGATGACAGTGATGCTATTACCGCCTTGAGAATGCTATGAGACTATCATGCAGAGAAAAGAAGCCCAGGTGGGTCCTGGAAAGGCTCTTTGATTTAAGGAAATGGAGCTAAGAGTCCAGGGAAAATAAGATCACTAGAGTTTGCACGACAGAGTATTGGAAAAGCAAGCACTATGCAGAAAAAGAACCAGGAAATCTGCAAAAGGTTATCCTTGAAAGTCAACTGAGTATGGAGTATCCATGTGTACAGAGAAATTATGTCTGGAAAAATAACCTTCTAAAAATAGTACAAATAACAGTACTTACAAGGACCAGTAATAGTGGTTTTCCAACCAGCCAGAAAGAAAAATTATAGTTCATGGGCCTTTGTATAAAATACACAGGAAGTTTACTATAGACTAAATACTGCTCTTATTCTGCCTAAAAAATCCAAATCTTGAAAACAAATTCAGAAATGATCAATCAGTTTCTAAGTTACCTATTGGGATCCCAGAACAAAGCTAAATCTTAATTGTAAGAACATAAAAGTATGTAGCATCCAACAAGGTAAAACGTATACTGTATGCCATCCATGAAAATTACTACAATGTGAAGAAGCAGGAAAATATGACCAATGGTGAGGAGAAAAATCATTAAATGAAAATAACTAGAACTGACATGTATGATAGAATTAATAGAAGAGGCTATTAAAACCATTATTGTGACTGTGTTTTAGATGTTTTAAAAGTTAAGTGGCAACATGGAAGATATAAAGAGACATAAATAACTTCTAGAGTTGAAAATTACAATGTCTTTTGAGGAAACATAGTGGAAGGTGCTAATGGAATATTACTGTTGCAAAAGAAAAGATTAGTGAACTTGGAGACACAGCAATAGAATACATCCAAAGTGAAAAAAGAAAAATAACTTTAAAGAAAGAGCATTAGTGAGCTGTGGAACAATTTCAAGTGACCTAACATATATGTAATTGAAGTATCTCAAAGAGTTTGAGGGAGGACAAAAAATACATTTGAATAAATAATGCATTAAAATATTCCAAACCTGATGAAACTATAAACATACAGATCCAAGAAGCTCAATGAAACTCAAGTGCAAGAACCACAAAGGCACTTCACAATAATTTAAAAATGCTTAATACTCTTGATTAAGAAAAAAGTTAAAAGCATCTGATAATTTTATGAATAATGTAATGATAATGTTATAAATAGAGAAACAAAGTTAAGGATGACATCAGGTTTTTCATCAGAAACAATACAACTGAAAAGACAGTGGCATAATATCGTTCAAGTACTGAAGGACCAGTACTTGATAACTGAGTATAACAGTCAGGTTGAGACATCATCATCAACCTGACTGTTATACTCAACTACAATATTGTTAAAAATTTGCCATGAAATGAAGAGTCTTTCAGATATATATCAAGTAAAAGAATTCATGTTCAACAAACTCACACATAAATGTTAAAGAACTTCCTTCATGCAAAAGGAATATGGTGCACAAAAGAAC